ATAAATTATTGGCAAGAAATCAACAGATCTGATGCTCTCTCCTTGCCTTTTTATTCATATATTATTGTTCTTAATTACTGATTTTTTTTCATATTGCTATTTTATATTTTTTGTCGTAAGCCACCCAGAGTCATGGTCTGTGAGATGGGTGAGTTTATAAATATGATAGATAGATAGATAGATAGATAGATAGATAGATAGATAGATAGATAGATAGATAGATAGATAGATTTAGACCCCAGTAAGTTATCTGAAAAGTTTATTATTAGAAGTCTGGACTCTGATGAGATTATTTTAGGGAGAAAAATTGGACCCATTCAGAGCCCAATTTTTCATTTTAGGCTCGAACCTTAAACCTGATTCAGAACTCCAAACTTCCATACTTCCCCATAAATTGTAAAATTATTTCCCACAAAATATATGATGGACATCAGCATAAATGGCTTTAAAATGGATTAAACAAATTAACTGAGTGTAATGCCATCCTTCACTGCTAATCATGATGGACATATGTTACCTTTTAGCATGTAATGCTCTTATTCTCTGAATATCAATCACTGGTCATTCTAGGAATGGAAAGCTAGACTAGATACATCTTCAGTCTGATCCATCAGGGCAATGCTTACAAAATGGACTTTAACGATTCCCTTTTTGCTATAATCTTTTGGAAATAAAGCTTTCATGGGTACTAATGAGTAGGTCTGAAACCAGTGCTCTAGAGAATAAATACATTTGTGATAAGTGAATTCAGTTTGTAGCTTTAATTTGGAAAGGAGATAGAAAAACAAAAATTTCTGAGGCTTTCCAGGTATCTTAAATTGGGGGTATAACCTTTGCATAATTTGTGCAAATTCTTTCAGAACTTGAAGCAACACTAATAGCTCCACTGCTTACTGAAGGAACACCTACTGTATTTATTATTATTACTACTGTTGTTGTTGTTGGTCACACAGTCAGACAGATGGTTTACACTGGATTTGGCATTTTTGTCCACCTACTGAATCCTTCCCAAGGACCAGGGATAGGCAGATGTTGTTGTTTAATAATATTAAAGGTATTGTCGCAGGATGTAAGCGGTTCCAAATAAAGCTGCCTTTTGCAATTGACTGATGGTGATTTTGTCAATGCCGATTGTGTTCAAATGGTGCTCCATATGGTTTGTATATTATTAGTAGTAGTAGTGTTAGTATTATTCCAGATAGATAGATAGACAGTCAATTCAAGGTGGAAAACATACTTAATTCTCCTGCCTCCTATTTTCCCCACAACAACAACCTGCTTAGGTGGGCTGGGCTGAGAGAGAGCAACTGGCCCAAAGTCACCCAGCTGGCTTTCATGCCTAAGGGAGGCCTAGAACTCACAGTCTCCTGGCTTCTAGGCCAGCACCTTAACCACATTACAAATGTACCATGGCATAATTTGGACAATCAACAATTGGATGAATGGATATGAACTAATGTTTTGCTCACAAAAGCAGCCCACTGCTTCTCCCTTCATTATCCTTATCAAATCTGGTAATCTCTAATTCATCAGAAGCTAGCAAATGATGGATACCAGCTTCAAAACCAGGCAAGCAATTGAACCATAATCTGATTTAAAAGCCAAGCTGGTACCAGAGTTGATAAACCACTGTTTCCCATAACAACAGTTTCCTGGTTCTTTGTGCCAGTCTAGATGCTTTTGGTTCACAAGAGGCTTCATGGTTTATTAAATGTGCCATGAAGGGAAGAGAAAAAGTTCTTTGTGCAAAGGCAAAACAATCAAGGATATCTTGTTTTATTAAACTGAGATGAGATTATCTGACTGTGGCCATGAAACCTCCCATGACATTTCATCCAAGGAAACTAAGGGCCTTAGTATTGTTCCTGGAACTCCCACTACTCAGAGAAACAAGAAATACTTGTTGTAACATGAATAGTTTTCAGAACAATATGAATTTCCCTTCTCTCTTGTTAATTCAGATAATGAAACTTTACTGGTATTTATTTGGTAATAATTAAATTTCACTTCAGAGTCTGTCTTCTAGAGGTAGCTATGTTTATGTAACTGATTTTAATGAGGCCATAGTTTCAAAAGTGCTAGAAAGAAATGTTAACTGGATCCGTTAGAGCCATTTCAAGGTTGTAGTATACAAACGGAATTCTTTTTATATTTCTTTGGGGAGGACCTGAAAGATAAAGTTTACCAATAAATGAATTATGAGTATGACCTTTTCTTTTTTATTGCTTTCTGTTTGGAGATAGTAAGAATGACACCTGAAAGCAATATATCATATGGAGCATCAAAGCATAATCACTGAACTCGTAGGTTTAGTATTTTTTAAAGTTAATTCATTAAAACCAGGGGTGTGGTGGGGGGACATGTCAAAATGATGGGTGTGATTGAGTAATTGAAGCCCCTCTCCTTTTCCACATGCATTGCACATATCACACACATAAAATGGGGTGATATTTTGTTCTCCTAGTCACTTCCACTATTTTGAAGCTGGTCATTCCATTTGTAGATCCCCTTGACTAAAACCAATAAAATGTGACATACAGA